GTGTTGTAGAGAAGGAACCGTCATTGATGCCAGTGTCTTTGCACAAGACTCAGAATGACATTGCTTGTAAAACAAAGCATTGTATATAGACTAGGTCCAAAATGATTCAGAGTCTGTGTCCACAGGGTGGATATATGCTAGGAAATAATATCGGGGTCCATCAAAGTTGCTTTGAAGTAAATTGCTGCCTCCATTACTCTTCCGTGATCCGAAGCAGTTATTTCATTGGCGGAATGAGGCATTTTCCATAGTGGGCAGTGTATGTAGGCACCAGGCCCAAGAGATGAGTCCAGGGGGCCTAGAAACAAAGCACAGGCTAATCTTCCATGATTAGCACCATCATTCTCTTAAAGCATGTTTGCCTGAGATGTCCTGATTCCCAAAATACAGATAAGAGCTCTACCGTGTCTGGATTTCCCTCTGTTAGAGCCATGGGCAAAGTAGGGGGATCTGTCTTTCTCCTGGCTACCTCATTTATTTTATTCAACAGGTATTTATCGCACTCCTACTGTTTATCAGGACTGTCTGGGGTCTTTTGCTAGGAAGAGGAGGGTACCACAGTTTTTGTGTGTGTGGGGGGGAATAAGGGACATATATACAATAAGTGAATGTATTTGATTCTTTTGTGCTTTCAAGTTGATAGTAATGCTAACTGCTGTCCATTTTAGGTTGAGAGGTCAGTATCAGATCCACTGAAGAGCTAGTGAAAAGTCATTGAATTGGGCCTTTTCTTACGAAAATGGAAGTGCTCCCTAGAGACATGAATATATCACGCTTGTGTTTGACAGCAGTACAGGTAATCCTTACCATCAGAGTCTGTGTGGCTCCTGAATTCCTGTAGCATGTTCAGGTGCCATGTTGTCAGGATCTCTGGTTTCTGAATTTTGGATAGTAAGTAGGAAGAAATAGAATGTTAAAGGACATCAGCCTCATCTCAGTGTCCATGTTTGGATGGTGAATATTGGCTCAGTGAGAGTTACACTGGCATAAGGATGTCCCCAGTGTGCAGGGGGGGTAGCAATTGATGTTGCAGTTTGGCACAAGACTTCGTGGGAGGAGACACTGTGGAGCTGGGTCACATTTGTCTAGACAAAGATGTGTCGGTTGTAGAAATGGCTTGTGAGCAAGGTGCAGAGAGGAGGCCTAAGTTTGTGTTTGTGCACTGACAGCCCTGCAGAGTTTAGGGAGGTGCTTTGTGATGATACCCGAGTCAGGGAAGTTCTGGGAAGCTGTTAAGTGCTTCTGCAGTTCTTGGATGAATATCAATGCTCTGGAGGAAGCAGTGTGGTGTTGAGAGGCAGGGTGTTGCAATTCTCAGGAGAGGGAATGTGGGTGGTACTGGGTTAATCTTGAGGGTTCTGTGGAGTTGTTCAGGAAACTCTTCTCTCCCAGGGATCGAGACCAAGGGTGTGCCAGTATCAGATGGGAACAGCTTGGCAGGGATTTGAGCTAACTGTAGCCTGGACCGGAAGGACTCTGCTTTTCAAAAGTTTTGTTGTTTGTTTTCCACCAATTTTTAGTTATTGCTTTGACTGTGGATTTTTTATTGCCTTCTGTACTACAAATTGTCTTTGAAACTTAAAGTGAATAATTTTCACCTGGTATGTGTCTACATTTCAGTTCATTCAGCAAGCACTGAATTGGCTGTGAGTGAAATGTGCATGTGACGTCAGTATTTTTTTTTTCACATGGGGAGTCTCAACTGCATTGCCCAGGCTAGAGTGCAGGGGTGCCATCTCGGCTCAATGCAACCTTTACCTCCTGGGTTCAAGCGTTTCTCTTGCCTCAGCCTCCTGAGTGGTTGGGATTACAGGCACCTGCCACCATACTTGGCTAATTTTTGTATTTTTAGTAGAGAAGGGATTTCACCATGTTGGCCAGGCTGGTCTCGTGAACTCCTGACCTCAAGGGATCCGCCTGCCTTGGCCTCTCAAAGTGCTGGGATTACAGGCATGAGCTACCGTACCTGGCTGATGTCAGTATTCTTGATGGAGCAAGCATGATATATTAGTTGTAAAATATTAATATTTAAATTAAAGTTGCCATGTTTACTCTGTTGAGTAAGAGCATGGGTTTAGGAAGCTGACAGCTGGGGTTCAAATTTCATCCTGGTCACTCCTAGTTTTGGGCAAGGCATGTGACCTTGGGCAAGTTACTTAACCTCTTGGGGGCCTTATTTCCTTGTGTATGACAGTGAGACTAAGAATAATATTACCCACTTTGTAGAGTTTTTGTGAGGTTTAAATGAGATGGTAATGTAAAGCACTTAGCCTGGTGTCTGATACATTGTAACCATTTGGTAAGTGTTCATAAAGAAAGAACACAGAAGCAATTTTGGCATTCTAGCAGGTGGGAAATGGCGGAGTATCTGGCCTCCATCTTCAGCACCAAGAAAGACAAAGTCAACTGTTCATTTTATTTCAAAATTGGAGCATGTCGTCATGGAGACAGGTGCTCTCGGTTGCACAATAAACCAATGTTTAGGCAGACTATTGCCCTCTTGCACATTTACTGTAACTCAGAACTCTTCCTAGTTTGCTAACGGTTTGCGCTGTGCCGTGAGCCCTGTTAAGATGCAGGAACACTTGATGAATTTTTTGAGGTTTTTACCGTAATGGAGGAGAAGTATGGGGAAGTTGAGGAGATGACCTCTGTGATAACCTGGGAGACCACCTGGTGGGGAACGCGTATATCGAGTTTCGCCTTGACGAAGATGCAGAAACGGCTGTGATTGACTTGAATAACCATTGGTTTAACGGACAGCTGATCCACACCGAGCTGTCACCTGTGACAGACTTCAGAGAAGCCCTCTCAGTATGAGAGGGGAGAATCCACACGAGGTGGCTCCTGAAACTTCATTCATTTGAAGCCCATATCCAGAGAGCTACAGTGGGAGCTGCATGGGCACTGTTGCAAGAAACATAGATCAAGATCCCAATCCTGTGAGCGTCATTCTCGGTATAGAGACCGTGGTCGTGGTGGTGGCGGTGGTGAAGGTGGCAGCAGAGGCAGATGGAGTGTGACAGGAGGCATTCGAGAGATCATGAGAGATCTGGGCGATTCTGAACCATGCCATTCTTACCTTATGTCTGCTAGAAAGTGTTGTGGTTTATTGACCAGACCAGTTCATAATGGGAATTTTTTTTAGAAAAACAAAAAAAGAAACCTGCAAAGATGGGTTTCTGAATAAAATTTGTAATGATAATAGTAAAAAAATAAAAGAAAGAAAAAAGACAGAAAGAGGCCAAATGACCCTTCAAGCTGCTTGACACCCAGAGACTGAACCTGGATCCAGTCTGGTTCTGCTCTTGACTAATTGTGGGACTCTACACAAGTCAATCTGCCTGTATATCATTTTTCTAATCTTTAAAATGATACATGACATCATGATGATGAAGATGATAATGATGATAGCTAATAGGGAATGAGTTCCAGGCACTGTGCTAGGTGCTTTGCATGGCTTATCTAATTGAATCCTCATAACTACCTTGGGGCTAGATTCTGTTATTATCCCTGTGTTTCAGATGGGAAACCAAAGCTCAGCAGTTTAGTTACTTGTCCAGGGTCACCTCAGCAGTAAAAGTAAAGATGGTCTCATCTGGCAGTCTGATTCTCTGTGTGTCAGATGTTATGTCACAGTCTTGCATACATTAGCTGCCTTCTTTTGCATTTAATTTTCTAATCATAATTACATTTTGGCTAATGCTTCATGGATTGTCTTAAGGAAAACATTTGGGAGTAAGTTTGGGATTTGAGGCTAAATTGTAGTTAATAAGTATTTAGAGGGCAGGCATGGTGGGTGGCTCACACCCATAATCTCACCACTTTGAGGCCAAGGTGGGAGGATTGCATGAACTCAGGAGTTCAAGACCAGCCTGGGCAACATAGCAAGACTGCCATCTTACAAAAAAACAAAAAATTATCCTGGCATCATGGTGCTTGCCTGTGGTCCTGGCTATTCAGGAGGCTGAGGTGGGAGGATTACCTGAGCCTGGTGAGTTCTGGACTGCAGTGGACCACTGCACTCCAGCGTGGGTGACACAGCAAGACTGCTTCAAGGAAAGGAGAAAAAAGTATTGATGGAGTGTTTAGGTAGAGGAAAAGTGGATTCCCGTGCCGCACCCCAACATTCTTATTAAATAACATCTTTTTTTTTTTTTGAGATGGAGTTTCACTCTTGTTACCCAGGCTGGAGTGCAATGGCACGATATTGGCTCACCACAACCTCCGCCTCCTGGGTTCAGGCAATTCTCCTGCCTCAGCCTCCTTAGTAGCTGGGATTACAGGCACGCGCCACCATGCCCAGCTAATTTTTTGTATTTTTAGTCGAGACGGGGTTTCACCATGTTGACCGGGATGGTCTGGATCTCTTGAACTCGTGATCCACCTGCCTCGGCCTCCCAAAGTGCTGAGATTACAGGCTTGAGCCACCGCACCCTGCCCAAATAAAATCTTATCTGAGGTGGTTTGAACTTGCACAAAGCAAAGCTGTGTGTAAATACTACAGTGTAGAGGCTTTTCTCGGCAGACCTCTTGAATGAGCACTTCTGCAGCCAAACATTTGGGTGGAAAAATGGGTGTGGTTAGATAATTTACTTTCTTTTAGGGAGTTAAAGTGCTTGTTTCAGAAGGCACTTGAGCATCAACAAGGGCAATAGTGTGCAGTTCTTCCTCTACGGAGGACTCAAGAAGTCCCACGTTTTCCTCCTGCGTGTGGAAGTGATATAATAAGGAAGGCATTCTCTGTGCTGTTTTTTTTAATAGCAGAAGCTGTTGTGGGCCATTCCACCTCTCCAACCCCAGAGTTAGAACATGAATCAGCAAAATTGGAACTAGAGTTCTATCTAATCATCTGTGTATCCTTTAACCACTGAGATTTATATTTTGTGACTAATGATCTTGTTCTGGAAGTGCCATCTCCCACACAGGTCCCCAAAGAAAACTGGCTGTAAGGGCTCTGACTTAGAAATCAATTTTTCCCCCTCCTGTTTTCTCTGCAGGATTTATCTTGGGATCCCATGGCTTTCTTTACTGGGCTCTGGGGCCCCTTCACCTTTGTACGCAGAGCACTGATCCATCGCTGTTTCAGGTAACTTTCCATTAAGTTCTTAAAACTGTGTCTTTGTGTAAGCTTCCTATCAGGGCTGGGTATTATGGTGACTAGAACAGGAGTGAAAACCCAGGGAGACAGGCATGCGGTTGGGGAAAAGCTAAAGGGATCAGGCTGAGCTGGCCTGGTTGGTCAGGTCACAGGATGGGGAGATAGGTAAGGAGGTGATGTTGCTGTGTTAGAAGTGCAACAGGGAATGGCATATGGTGGAAGCTTTTACTCTTCGGTCCTTGCAAGACTCTTATAGTGAATCTCACATCTCTCAACCCTGTCATTCCCCTAGAGCATTAAAATCCTTGCTTTTAAAAATGGAATTTTTTTTGGAAACAGAGTTTCGTTCTCTTTGCCCAGGGTGGAATGTGATGGTGCAATCTCAGCTCATTGCTACTTCTGCCTCCCGGGTACAAGCGATTCTCCTGCCTCAGCCTTCCAAGTAGCTGGAATTACAGGCATGCGCCACTACGCCCGGCTAATTTTGTATTTTTGGTAGGTATGGGGTTTCTCCATATTGGTCAGGCTGGTCTCAAACTCCTGACCTCAGATGATCCACCCCCGTCGGCCTCCCAAAGTGCTGGGATTACAGGTGTGAGCCACCGCGCCTGCCAAAAATGGAATTTTTTAAATTACAAAAACAATACATGATTATTATTACGAAGAACTTGAGCATGATAGAAGTGTGACACCCTCCCCTCCTTTTAGTTGCCAAACCAGGAGAGCACCGGAGGCACGCCCGTTGGTAGACATGCTTCTTGGTCTGGTCAACTCCTCATCCCACAGGTGTTTCCTGAGCACTGAGCCTGAGGTTGGCTATATAGAGTTGAGTGAGAATTGCTTCCTGTCCTGAAAGGGTGCTCACTGTCACCCACAGGAGCCAACTTGAAAATAAGTAACTCTAAGAAAATGTGATAGAATGTTATAATAGAGGATCGTACAGTGCTTTGGAAGGCCTCATATATAAGCTGCTAGTGGAGGAAGAGGAGGAGAAAGAGTGGAGGCAGTCTTCTCAGAAGGGAGTTTGGGGCAGATCCTGTCGAGGCCTCCAGGAAGAATTGGGAGGCATTGTGTGCTTGGGGAACTCCACTAGTTCCTGGTTGCTACTGTACAGAGTGGTAGGCTATGTGGCCTTAGACGGTAGGTAAATCGGGACAAGGCTGTTGACGGTGCATACGGTGGGGAACCATTGAACAATTCTGAGCAGAGGAGTGGCATCACTTTCATATTTTAAAGAGCTCTTTTCAGCAAAGTACTAGGAACCAGCTAGGACACTAACGCCACAGTCTTGGTGTAGGAGAGTGAGCTGCCAAATGAAGGAAGTTGTTGGTGGGATTGAAGAGGAAGGACATAGGTGCTTAGGAGGTGATATCAACAGGACTTGGTGGCCAGCTGATGTTGGTGGAGAGAGATTATGCCTTGGGTTTCTGGTGCTCCTGGAGAAGCCATTATCTGGATAAGAAGTATAGCAGCAGGAGGGAGTTTGCAAGGGGAGGCAGTGAGGTCAATTTGGGACCGACAGTTTGCAGTAACTGTAGAGCATGTTGTAGGGAGCTGAGGAAAGTGGAAATATATAAGACTAGAATATAGAAGAGAGGTGGGACTAGAGACGGAATTTACTAGTTGGCAGCAATGCTAATGGGTAAGCTTGCACAGAGTAGACATAAAAAAACAGGAGAAGAGGTCCTAGGATTACCCTGTGGAAACACCAGCATCAGGTGCTAGCATCAGGAAAATAGGAATCCCACTGTTATCAGTTTGCTCACTAATACCTTGCCTTTAATAAGTACTGTCTAAATTTTTTTTTTCTAATGAGAAAAAATGTATTAAAAGATTGTTACTCTGACTTATTTCCAGTTTCTGCTGTGCTGTGTCAAGGAATTCCCTTAGCAAACTTACCCATATCTTCTAGTTCTCAGCAACATGTAAATAAGAAAATTAGGGAATGGGTGTATTCTGGGGAAGCAGGTTTTTCAGGATAGGCAGTGGGTGAGGCATAGCCCCTTAGGGATTCCTTTAAGTCCCCAGAGTCCCTTTGGAAATCAAAGGCTTTAAGTTATGGCTGCTATGAAGTTCATTGTCACAGAAAAATTGGGTTCTCTTTAAAACCCATCCAAATTGAGATCTTGACACAACAGCAGAAGCTCTCAATTGTGAGGAACCTGTGTGGGTACAGATAAGTCTTCACAAAGTCCTGACTTTTTGGTTGCGGCTCCTGTACAGCACTCTGCTCTGTGTGTGTTGCTGACATGTACTTTCTCCCTAGCCTTGACCTCAGAGGCTTGTGTACCCTGACCAGGAGAGATACAGACTGCAGACTTTTTTTCTCCCACCAGCACCACTGGGAGCCTGAGTGCGATTCAGAAGATGACGCGGGTACGAGTGGTGGACAACAGTGCCCTGGGGAACAGCCCATACCATCGGGCTCCTCGCTGCATCCACGTCTATAACAAGAATGGGGTGGGCAAGGTGGGCGACCGGATACTCCTGGCCATCAGGGGACAGAAGAAAAAGGCGCTCATTGTGGGGCATCGCATGCCTGGCCCCCGAATGACTCCCAGGTTCGACTCCAACAACGTGGTACTCATTGAGGACAACGGGAACCCTGTGGGGACCCGAATTAAGATACCTATCCCCACCAGCCTGCGCAAGCGGGAAGGCGAATATTCCAAGGTGCTGGCCATTGCTCAGAACTTTGTGTGAGTTGAGCCCAGGCCTCTGGTTGCATGAGGGTTTGTGAATGGCACAGTTCCAAGAACCACACTTTTGCTAAGGGAGCTTGGGAGCCACATGGCTGCTCCCTTCACACTGGGTAACAGTGTCCTGTGAGAGAATAAATATATTAATTTATGTTCTTCCAGAGCTTTCTGGGATGTAGTGGGAAAGTAAATGACACTGGAGCAGTTCCAAGGTGGCTTACCCAAGTCTGGCCACACAGGGTGGCATTCTTTACACGGAGCAGCCGTGGTGCCAGGGTCCAAGCCCTTGCTTTTCCGATTTAAACCCTGTGAGTTCATCCAGAACTGACAGGCCCTGGAAAACTGAGGTACACACCATGTACCAATTTATAAATGTACCGTGGAGTCTGCCACTTTCTCACCAAAAGATACTTGTTTTTATTTTTCTCATCCAAAATCTCTTCCTCTATTAGTGGGCTTGAGACTTTAAATGGTTATAAAGATTACTGAGTTAGCATGGAATAAGAGCAAAGAAGCTGATTTAATCTAGCGAACATTTCCTTCAGGTCACAGTAAATCCCAGACAGTAATCTTTTCTTTATTCTGATCATCTGCCAGAACACTCCACTGTGCCCAGTACTGGACTTCCTGGACTGCTGGAGAAATGGATGTTCTTACATTTTGCAGATGACGTAATCTTGGGTCTGTGCAGGTGATTCAGTGACAGTTATCTTCCATTCATCTGTTGGTTTGCTTGCAAAGATTTAGAGGCTCTCTAAGTTCCTTTGCTGGAATCTCATCAACTTATTTATAATTTTTTTTAATTCATTTAGAATACCTTAGGTAGTTAACTCATTAAATGAATAACTAATCTCAATGGCTTCTGAGAGTCAGAGTAGGATAATAATGAGGAACATAGGCCAGACTGTATGGATTTGAATCCTGACTCTACCACTTAATGACTGGGCAAATTATTTTACTTTTCTTTGGCTCAGTTTCCTTATCTGTAAAAGGGGGATGTAGTAATGGTACCTACTTGATAGAATTGATGTGAAGATTAAATGAGTTTATAAGTGCTTAGAACAATACCTGGCAATAATGAGCACTCAGGCTAGGGATGGTGGCCCAGGCCTGTAGTCTCAACTACTCAGGAGGCTGAGGTAGGAGGAGCCCAAGAGGTGAGTCCAGTCTGAGCAACATGGCAAGACCTGTCTCTTAAAAAACAAACAAACAAACAAAACAACCAAACAGTAGGTACTTTTAGGAATAGGAAGTAGCTATTTACTATTGTCACGACTCTGCATGGGTCAGCACTGAGAAAACAAAGGTAAGTAAAAGAGTAAAAGCAAGTGTGGTCCCTGCTTTCCTGGAGTTCATATAGTCTCAGGGGAAACCAACGTGAATCAATAATTCCTCAAACAAGTGCAAAGTCCCAAGTGTAGCAAGGGTCTGTGATAAAGGAGCTAGAGTTTCAGTGGGATTGGAGGCAGCTTCCCTGAAGAAGGATTGCATCAGCTGCAGTCTGAATAGGTACAGTGATAGAAGTCAACAGTGGTTACCTGGGGATAGGGAAGGTGTAGACTGGAAAGGGGAAAGAGGGAAACTTCTGGGTCTTACGAATGTCCTAAATCTAGATCTGTGTGCAAGTTCCATGAGCATAGACATCCACAAACAATTACTGAGCTGTATACTTCAGTGCACTTTATATCATAGTGAAATAAATGAATAGGAATTAGTTAGGTAAGAGAAGAGTAGGAAATGTTGCTGGTAGAGGGAAGGGCATGTGCAGAAACCCTGTGACAGGAGGGAATGTGGTAAATACCAGGTCTAGAAGAAAAAGCCAATTTAGCTGGAACAGGGAGAGCAAGAGGGAACATGGCGGGGGGTTGAAGCCAAAAGAGGAGTGGGGCCTCATGAGTCCTCGGGAGATTTTCCTTTTACTAAGGTCATTGGGATGCTGTTGAAGAGTAATTTAGCCAGTGGGATAAGACATGGTTAGATTTGCTCTGGAGAGAGATCTTGGGGAGGCCAGAATGGAAGAGTGTGCTTTGTAATAGACTGTGCGAGGTGATAATATGGACCAGGTTGTGGTGGAGGGCAGTGGGCATCTTTAGGAGGTGGAGTTGACTTGGGGAATACTAGTGGAGGTGGGTTAGTAATGGGGAATACTAATGGGGAAAGGCCAGGGATGGTTTTCCTGAGGTTTTGGGCTTCTGTGCCTGGATAGTTGGTTGTGTTGAACCTGGAGCTAGGCCGGAGGATTGGGGAGGAAGAGCAGGTGTGGGCAAGCTGAATGGAGGTGCCTTTGAGACATCGAAGAGATGTCAAGTAGGTCGCTGGCTATAAATAATGTCTTAAATTGGAATAACACTGAAGACACTGAGTTTCAGAGGTATTTCAGAGGTAATTCAGAGGTAAGAGGTGATTTTTCAGGGTTCTCCAACTAGTAAGTGGTAAAGCTGGTCTCGGAGCTGGATCCTGTGACTTCCAACCCAGGGTCTTTCCACATCATTGGGTCTTCCTTTTGTAGTTGATGAGTCCACTTCATCTTGACTTGATTCTTACCAGCTGTGATCCTAGAGGCTGATGTTCTGATTTTCCTGAGTTCTGTGGGCATACCTTGGAGCCCATTGCCCACTGAGCCTTGACTGCAATGAGGCAGAGGCTCTCAGTTTTACATCTTCCGTTGGAGGAGCACATTGCTCCCCAGGGCTCCTCTGACTAAGCCTGATTCAAGGTACTCTGGGTATTTTAGGAGCTAATATCCTCTCCATCTGGCCCTCTGGTAAGGCTGACATGCTCTGCCGCAGCGGTTGGATGTGGCCAAGGAGGAGGAATCATTGAAACCAGGGCCTGCTTTGCCAGTGGTGAGTGTTTCTCTCCAGCAGCAGCAGCTGGTACTCGGTAGGTTCTTTTTTTTTTTTTGAGGCGGAGTTTCGCCCTTGTTACCCAGGCTGGAGTGCAATGGCGCGGTCTTGGCTCACTGCAACCTCCGCCTCCTGGGTTCAGGCAATTCTCCTGCCTCAGCCTCCTGAGTAGCTGGGATTACAGGCACGCGCCACCATGCTCAGCTAATTTTTTGTATTTTTAGTAGAGATGGGGTTTCACCATGTTGACCAGGATGGTCTCGATCTCTCGACCTCGTGATCCACCACCTCTGCCTCCCAAAGCGCTGGGATTACAGGCTTGAGCCACTGCGCCTGGCCCTCAGTAGGTTCTTAACGTCCCTGCTTTCTGTGCTACTTCATAAAGGCTGTGGGAGGAAGAGAACCCTGGCCTGAAGCAAAGGGAAGGTGGAATTGTTCTCAGCCTGGCACCACTTGCTTAAGGGCTGGACCTTTGCTCTCACTGGCGCAGCTTTACCCAAGCTGCCCTCTGGCTTCTCAGGTCCCTTGCTTTCTGGGGTCAGCCTCACTTCTTCCTCTGCCCTTAGCAGGAAGTGTCTTCTGTTCATGTGCTTGCAAGGTGCTGCCACCCCTCACCCGCCTCCCTGCTGTTCAGGTTCATCAGAGTCATTTAGATGACTTTCCTCTGTCCTCACTGTCCCCTCCTCTGGTCTTCATAGACTTAAACCCTCTTCCCAAGGTGTTCTGTGCTGACCGCTGGAAGGCTGTGGTTTCAACAAAGCCGGTGGCCAGGGCCTGTGACGCAGGCCCTCACAGCACAGCCCAGAATAGCCTCGGCTTTGCTGCTTTTCCAGCTGCCCTATCACTTTGCAGGCTGGGATCTAATTTGCTGTCCACCCTCTCAACCCTAGTCTCTCAGCCAGTGTTCATGAAATATTTATAATCACAGATTATGTTTCCCTATGAGTATAAACTTGCTTTTGTTTTTTTTTTTCCCCCTTCTGTGCCCTTAAGAATCTGCCCCTGACAGGTCAAAGGGCCTTATTCTCTGGTTTCATGGACTTCATCACACTTTCTTTGGTGAAGGGGCTGGCTCCACTTACGGTCTGACTCCCTCTGCTAGACCACTGCTGAAAAAATGTGAGAAAAGAGCTCTAGATTAGCTCTTGTAGTCAGAGACCTGGGTTCCAGATGGAACCCTGCTGCTAACTAGCCTCTCGAGGAGTTAGGAGCTTACTGCTGGAGGGCTTGGTGCTCAGGACTTCTGGCCAGTGGGTGTGACTCCTAAGGGCCAGCCATGTTGAGGAATGTGCCCCCTTGGCTTCTCACGGGGTGAGGGAGGACCTGGCCAAAGTGTGTGCAGAGAGGCCTTGCCACCACCAGCACTCCTGAAGTTTGTCACCTTTGGCAGAGATGTCCAGTCCACTTCCTGTGTGTCTTTGGGAATTAGCGCAGAAAGGAGGGAAATTAAGAGTCTCCCAAGTACCAGCTGCTGCAGCTGGGAAAAATCACCTCACCTACCACTGAGTTTCTCCCCTGAAACTCTCAAGCCCAGCCTTGCACTTATGAGGGCAGCGGCCACTGAGGCAGAATTCACTGGAGGTGTGCCTCGTCCTGTGTTAGAGTGAGGGGGGCCAGGACGGGGGTCTCCCTGGAGGTGAGGTCCTACTGTACAGGCAGGAGCCCAGGGCCATTCCACTGCAACCTCCCTATGTGGAGCCGCCGCAGTGTCCTTGCTCAGGCCTCTCATGACCTTTCTTGGCCTCTTCTCATGGTCTTTAATTTTCTTTCTCAGTGGCTGAGAAATCTTGCTTCTGACAAAAATTGTATAATACTGGAATCAAATCCTTAATCGAAATTTGAATCTGTAGCAGTAGCTGCATTTCTTTTCTTCTAATTTTGTAATTCAAACTTAAAATCGTGGGACTTTTGTTTTATTCTTTCCCACTTAGAAGATGGTAACAGATCACAGTTCAGTTCTTCCCAGCATTTTGGACACCTTCTTGCTAAATTATTTTGCGAAATACTAGTAATTTTCTGAATTATTTGGGCTTCCTGGGCTGAAAGTGGTGATGAGTTTGCTTTTCAACTTTCAGTATAAAGATGGTGATTCCCAGCCAGATTTGGAAACAGTAATGATCTGTTGTCATTGCTTGGTTATTATGGCAGGCTGTTTCATAAGACACACCACAGGCATTTTAAAAATGAATATTAAACTTTACTTTGGGAATTTCACAAGAGCTCTTGAATATTTGTGATACCTTTGGATATTACAAAACCTTGATTGGCAATTGATTTGAGGCCAAGTGTTTACATGCTCAATAAAGACAGCTCTTGGCCAATCTGGACTGATGATCCAGTATGTGATCAGAGCTTCACTCC